AAAAAAATTGAAAGGAAAATAAAAGTAGTGTTTAGACTTTGTCTTTTAAATCTTTCCTGGTAAAAGATCTGATGACTCAACTGCCGTGGAGCCGGTTCTGACTCAGCGCGCCCCGCGGGACAGGGTAGAACAGCCCCTGTGGGTTTCTGAGACTAACTCTGCGGGAGTGGAAAGCCCGTCTTTATCCCACCAGGGATTTGATACACACCGCAATAAAAAGAAGTGTTTTGCTGTTTGTTTTTGAGAGATGCCATAAAATGTTATCTCTGTCTGAAATGGAACCCTTACTAGGCCGCCTTCAGGGTCAAATCTATACTGTGCAAGGCAGTGTTCCTCAGAAGTGGGGAGGCCAGATTTCTTCCATCTAAATCAGTGGTTCCCAACCTTCCTTATGTCGTGACCCTTTCATACAGGTCCTCATGTTGTGGGGACCCCCAACCATAAAATTATTTTCATTGCTACTTCATAACTGTCATTTTGCTACTGTGATGAATCGTAATGTAAATATCTGTCATACAGGATGTATTTTCATTGTTACAAATTGAACATAATTATACATAATTAAAGCATAGTGATTAATCACAAAACAATGTAATTTTATATATCATGAAATATGTATGTGTTTTCCGATGGTCTCAGGTGATCTCTGGGAGAGGATCATTCAACTCCCTAAGGGCTCGAGACCCACAGATTGAGAACCGCTGATCTAAATCATCAGTTGGTGTTTGTTTAAAAGTCAGTTTTTGGGGTACCACCTAAGAATTTCTGGATATTTGATTATTCCCTCTTACAACTGCCACTGGATCTGGTATCTGCCTTTATTAACACATTTAACAAGACATATTTATTCCTTTACCTGCTTGTCCTTTTAAGTCTAGGAACTCCTAGCGGGTGGGAATGAGGAGCTCTGGTGGCTCTGCGGGTTAGATGTGAGGCTGCTGGCTGCCTAGTCGACGCTGCTCCAAGGAAGGGAAGAGGAGGCTGTCTGCTCCCCAAAAGATTTAAATTCCTGAGAACCCTAGAGAGTAGGAGTTGGAGGGTGTGTGTGTGTGTGTGTGTGTGTGTAGGATAGGAATTATCCATTGCTTTTAAATTGCAAGCTCCAAGCAGCTAAATGTTTGATAGACCCACTGCCTTCTAGTCTGCTCCTAACATTCCTGTCGGACTGACTAGAACTGCCCCATAAAGCTTCCGAAGTTAGGAAGCTGGCGGCCACATCCTTCTGCAAAGTGTGGCTGGTGGCTTGAACTGCAGACCTTTCTGTTAGCAACTTCTTGCTTGTGCACGTCACTGCCGGTGCTCCTCGTACCGGGTAAAGTAATGCCATGTGGGAAAAGAACGGCTTAGAGACCCTTTTAGGGGTTGCAAGGTTTAAACTCTACTCCTAATACTGAGACACATAATGTGCCTTTATTTATTTTTTGCAATGTTAACATTTGCACTGTTGATATATCAAGCAATGGTTAAGTAAAATTGCTGGCACCTTAGCATGAATAAAGACAGTGGGGCGAAACTGTATTGACACTCATTATATATTCATCACTGCCAGTCACCTGTAATAAAAGTAGTATCATTAATCACTTAAGCATATCCTTGTTGAAGCAATAAAAATGATTGATTTTATTAACTCCTGACCCTCGGCTCACATCTTCCTATTTTCTGGGACAAAATGGCTCCATGCATAAAACACTTCAGCACACTCAAGCACAACGGTTGTCTCTTGCGGAAAAGGCGTTGGAGCAAAGCTGAATTGCAAACTGAACTGGCAGCTTTTTCATGGGACACCATTCTTCTTTGTGAGTATGACTGAAAACGGATTAGTAGCAGACCTCTGAAAAAGAAAGCAAGCTTGTTCCTTCATGGAGAACAACTGACAGTTCTTGTTGCCAATGTAAAATTGTACCTTTCAAGAGAAAAGTAGAATTTTGACTGTGCGTGAGTTTGACAGCGTTGTTATGGTTGCTGTCATCAAATCAGTTCCGATTTACAGATTTACAGCGACCCTGGGTATAACGGGCGAAACACTGCCCGATCCCGCGCCAGCCTCACAGTTGTGCTTACGTTTAAGCTCGTTGTTGGGGCCCTTGTGTCAATCCCTCTCAACAGCTGGCCAATACTGAAATACTTTTTAACTGAAATTGGTAATGATTTTTAAGAAAGTGAATGTGATTTTAAATATTGTATAATGAAACGTGTCAGCATGTGGACAGTCGGCATAGCTCAGTTAACAGATTTTTCCAAATTATTATGGGTAAAACATTTATAAACCAACAGATTTTAAAGAATCAGTACAAAAGGTTTGCTGATTTGTTTTCAAATTCCATATTGCAACTGACTTTTAGGAAACTACCCTTTGTTGAAGGGTTCCTGGTAGTGCAGTGGTCAAGTGCTCAGCTGCTACCAGAATGAAGGTTGGAACCTACCAACAGCCCAACGGGGGAGAAAGACGTGGTAGGGGTGCCGTGAGTTGCAGTCAACTTGATGGCATTAGACACCATTGCTGAATGTAATACAGTGTCAAAAGACAGTATATACAATTACCTGAAAAGGCTATTAAAATACTTTCCCTTCTACAAGGTGAGGCTGGATTCTCTCCATGTATTTCAATTAAAACAATTGTAAAAAATAATAATAAAACAACAATTGTATCATTGCTGAAGCAGATATAAAAATCCAGTGGTTTTACATTAAGCCAAGCATTTAAATTTTACAAACACGTAAGGCAATGCTATTTTCACTAAACATTTTCTCCAATTTTAATTGTTTTGAAAATGTATTTTTCAAAAAATAATGGTTTACATGGTTTTGTTTTTAAGAAATAAAGTTCTCAGTTGTAACTTCAAATAAGGTAAGTAACAATAAACACACCCAAACCTGTTGCCATCAAGCCGTGGAGTGAGTTGACTCATTGTGGCTCCACATGTTAACCAGTCTCACTGCCACTGAGTTGATGCCGACCTAGAATGGTGCTACGAAACAGGAGAGAATGGCCTTTGAGTTTTGCAGGCTGTAACTCCAAGGGAATAGAAAGCCGGTCTTTCTTCTGAGCACTGGCTGGTGATTTCAAACTGCTGACCTCGCAGTTAGCAGCCCAATGCGTAACCACTACTACACCAGGCCTTCTCATTCTAGAGTGGAACTGTATCACCTTTATGGAAGCACATTCCCAGGCTTTTCTTCTACGGCACCATTCAGCGGGTTTTGACCACCAACCTTTAGGTTAGTAGTTGAGTGCTGTGGGAAGCAGAGAACGGGAAGAGTGTACATAGATGAATCCTTTAGTCTCGTATTTTATGACGCCTGGCGGGCTGGGTTTCTGTGGTGGAGGGAGGCCTTCACCCTTCTGAGTTGTAGATGAGTCCTAACTACATTCTCTTATGTTCTCTACTATGTCCTCTCATAAGCGTGCTCCCTTACAAGCACAAGGCTGATTGCTATCTACAGGAGCAGACATGTACTATTGCTCTCTAGACTCTGAGGACAGCCACTCCCCCCTACCTGCCTCGGCCCTGGTGTTGTTACTCCTGCGATATACTCAGGTTTCTTGAGGGTTAGGATACAGCCCACTTTGTTACGTATGTGGTTACCTGTAATTAGGGGGCGCTTGCACGCCCCCGAGTGTATATAAACCTTGGTTGGAAATATATTCTCTCTCTAGACTTGGCTCCTGAAGTCATGGCAGCCTTGGAGGTGAGCACTTGCATGCTTTATCTTGTCTGATGTCTCTTTGATTGAATCCTCAATTACACACCCGCCCCTTGGACCCATTGGATTGTGGGGGCTGGTACCCCACAAGTGCCCTGTAAGCACCGCCCAAGATCTAACCTACATAAGGAATATTCTTTAGAGACCTCAGTAATTAAGAGTGAATGGTTCTGAAGCCAATACGTTTTGAGGACAACGGGTATAAAAGATACAATGGTTTTTGGAGATGGAGAACTACCCGCAAAGTTCAGTTCTGCCACTGAATTGACCAGCTTGTAGTAAGTTCTTGAAGTGTCGGCTCAGACATCAGTCTGGGTTTGTAATTGTGCCACGTGGTTTTTTGGTGACTTTTGGTGAACCATGTTACTTATAAGAAGGACAATAGTTCCAGGTGCCATGAGGATTAAATGAGATCCTTGCAAGAGAGCAGTAAATATTTCTCTCGCTGCCATCATGATAGAACACAATTCTGATAGAACACTAGAGGGTCTGTGAATCTCTGAGCGCAGCAGACAGCCTCATCTTGCCAGAGGCATGTGGGTTTGAACCTGACCTATGCCTAGCAGCCCAGTGATTAACCCCCGCCCCCCAATGCTGCTACCAGGATAATTAGCCTGAATGAGCCGATTGACAGGATCAATATTGAGACTGGGATACAATCTCGGGTTTCCTCTACTTTTCCATTAAAAAAAAAAAAAGCTATTTAGTCCCAAACCCTACTCAACAGACCAGTAGGACACATGGAACTGCCCCATTGGGTCCCCACCGCTTCCTCTGATTGGTGGGTGGGTTGGCAGTCAAACGTGTATCCACTGTGCCTCCAGGGTTCTCAGAAACGACTTGGAAAGATATAAGTAAATTTGTATCCATATACACATGACATGTATACACTTACATATGTATATAACAATTTGGAAAAACAATTGGAAGAGAATCGGTGGGCTACAAAAATTTTTATTTCACTTATTCTCTGGGAAGAAGAAATAAAACTGGAAAACATTCCCAGAACCCTTGCTCTATAATCTATCTAGGAAAACAGGAAATTATCTATAAATACTCAAAGGAACCGAAGGCTCCAGCAAACGAAGCCCACGGGAGAGCTGGGCATGAAAGACTTATGCAAACTTCCACCGCGGGGCGATGTCAGCTTTGTTTGGACAAGAGTCTCTTGTGGCGGACATCCCCAGCGGCTTTTCAATCCTGCCCACCGCTGCCTCTTTTAAAGAGACCTTTTCACAGCCTCTAAGTGGCACACAGCAGCACGGCCCTAGATGGAAGAATCCTTCATTCTGCTTTTCCTTTCCTGTAACCTTGCACCTGCCAACGGGATAGGTTCTCCTCTCTTCCCCTGCTGTCTGTCTCCCGTGGGTTCCTGACCCATCAATAAGGTTAGCCAGAGTGCAGGGGACCTGTTGTCCCATCGGCCCATCTGTGAAGTTAAAAAGGGTAGACTGGCTGTTCCCGAACCTTCTTCCACCGAAATTCGAAATGCTCCCAACACCTCTCAAGAACCTCAACGCTGCGGACTCGCAGCGACGCCACAGGACCGAGTGGAGTCAACTACTGACCTAGAGTGGGCACAAAGCATGCCCGGGCCCCTCCCTCTGCCAGTGACTTGATGCCCAGTCTTGTGACCTCCGGCGCTAGAGCCACAGGGCTCCGAGGCGGGGACTCGAGCAGCTCGCAC